CCCCCCAGGAGTCCATCCCGCCTCACCTGAGTGATCTCCTGGGTGGTTATTTCAATGGCATGCTCCTGGTCACTGCTGTCATCCAGGGTGGGTCTGTTCAAATGCTGGTCATGAAGGATGGCTAATTCCTTCATCTTCTGCTTAATCCGGCCGACATCGTACTGGATCTAAACCAACGGAATCACCAGAGCTCCACTAATGCCAGCCAGGTACCCACCTGCCGCTGAGACCACCAGCTACCCTCAGAGCACACAGTTGTTTTCAGCCAACTCGTAGGCTGGCTGAGGAGTGAGCCACTTTTCATTCAAACACCACTCCTCCTCGTTCCATAGTTCTTCAGCTTCTGTCTGGAGCTCAGGTACTCACCACCGGGGCAAGACCACCGACACACACACACCCACTCCCCCTTCTCGTGTGGGAACTGAACACTCCGAAGCTCGTCTCCCCAGGGACACAGCCAAGGGTAGCCCCGTCAGTTCTTACGGCAAATATCTGAAAACATGCTAATGCCGTAATTACTTATACAAATAAGATAGTGTGAAACGAACATTCAACTTACTTCATCCACTCCATCCACCCATTTAGGAGGTGACAGTTTTGTTACGCCAATTGCTGCTTCTGGGTCCAAGCTAATGCCTGACACCAGAGCCATACGATCGTCGGCGAGCTACAGGGAGATAGAGGAACAGGACAAAAGTCATTGCGGTTCACTTTAGGTAAGCTCACACTTGCCCCCCTGCAAGGGTCGCTCCCTAAGAAAACACAGACATGGAGGAGTGAATGCACTTGCCTGCACCATAAACGTGCTTTGGACACTGGTAAGATTTGGAACTGTTTTCCTGTCTTTTCACACACCAGCTCTTAATTTCCTTGGACATGTTTGTGAACACGAATTTGACTTGATCTGGCTATCGAAATGTAATGAGAAAGTCAACCAAAGGTCCTGAAAAGAAGGACCTCTCAGTGCTGGTAGTAGGATATGATAGAATGGCATGAACCTCAAAAGTTAACATGATCAGACACAAGTTAAAAAGAAAATACCAGACTATGAATGAAGCTAATACACAATTTTCATTAGTCGCAGGATTTACTAACACACATTTAGCTTATTTTGCAAATAGGGCTGGATCCAGTTAATTAGTCACAAGCTCATCAACCATGTGTTACAATGGGTGAAAGAACTGCTTAAACAGTTAGCAAATTATCCACCATTTGGCAAAAGAATCCTTAAATCTCAATGCAGTCTTCCGCTGTCATTTCCTTTCTTCGGTTACATGTCTACAGGCAATGTTTCCACTTACTTTGAAAGGATATCGATAGCTCTTGTTTACCTACGTAACCTGTTGCCTTAGACCTTCAACAGGGAGGGAAGCGTTCCCTTGCCTGGAGGCAGTGAGGGGGTTGAAAGGATCCTGACGTGCCCTCTGGAGCTCAGAATTTATAATTGCCAGTTTCAAAAGAGCCAAAAAATAATGGAAAACAGCATATGAAAGTCCTTTATAGGCAATACTTGGTAAATTTCCTAAATCACACCGCAAAATTGGGTGAGGAATTTATATTGCCCTTTTCCCCGCTTGCCTGCATTTATCTAAATTTACTTTTTCATTCATTCAGCAAATGCCTGCTTGCTTTTCGAACAATAAAGGAACAAGACAAAAATTTAAAATCCACAGATGAGGGAAAAAAAATATATCACATAAGAAAAAAGCCTAGATTAAAAGCATTCAAATACTAAGCCCTAAATTCTGAACAGGGCATTTACAGCAAAATTCCTGAAAGCAACTGGGTATCTTGCGTCTGTTCCCCCCTGCACCCGGTTTCTTAGGGCATTCTGTGGATTCGGGGAGCACGTCTTGCGCACTGACCTCACTGAAGGGACCAGGACCCCATCACCGCTCCGCTACCCTGTGATTAAGGCCACCAGCGTCCAGCGCCACGCGGGAGCCGCAGGTGGCGCAGGCCCAGCCGTCATTTCAGGTCTTAAACAAAAGGGTGTGTCAGCCACCCGGCTCAGTGGGGTGGTCCTCCTCCACCAGGGCCACCTTGTTTGTTTTTAAGAGTTCACTAATAGGAATTCTACCTTCTTTTTATGCTTTCTATCCTCATAAAAACTAGGTGAGCTAGGAACTATGATTCCAATCTACAAATGAGGAAAATGGGAAAAGTTAAGTACCTTGCCCAAGGTCACAAAGCTATTAGTGACAGATTAAAACCTGGGTTGGCTGACTCCAGAGGCCCCGTCCACTCCACAAGCTGCCAATCACTTTGGCAGGCCCATGAAATATACTTGCAATTGGCTGAGGAAACAAATCAGGACAACAAGCCCTTGGATTAAAACTACAAAACTACACAAAACATGGTCCTCCGATCCATATCCTTCCCTCACCACGTAAATGTCAGCCAGCAGCAGCCTCCCTGGCTGACCATCTGTAGATGCAGGGACGGGCACACACCTGTCCCACACACAGCGGGCACACACAACGAGAGGCAGAGCTGTTTACTCCTCAAAAGTCCCGCTCCAAAGTCACCAAGAGGTGTGGAGGGTACACTGACCAGGGCACAAGGAACAAACCACACGCCTACCTCCCAGCATCTACCAGCTACACAGCAGGTGCTGGACAGAGCTGCTGCCTCACAGGAGCAGAATGTGAACTTAAACCTCCACCGTGTATATGAAGCGAAACCTAATATACCTCTCTCCATGGGTCAGTGTCTCCACTACGCCAGTTTATTATCTCACCCACTATGTTTTATTATCACACCATATTTCAATAGAGAAATAATAATGTTTCGTTTATAGTTTTTCAACTCATGATCTTATTTTGTACTGTTTTTTCTGTTTACGAATATACATTAAACTGAAAAAGATGTACTGAGGTGCTATTCATCTAAACCCATCCGCATAGTAATTAGTATCTTCATCTGAAACAAATGAGAAATTTTAAATCACATATGAAAAGTTAGTTGAAGTGGATTAAACTCTTTTAAGCAATACTTCATTTTATAGAATAGATGAGTCCCCCACCCCCAAAAGGCACATGAATCAAACTGGGGAGAACACGGTTAAGTGTCCTATTCCTACGTGAAGGGGGCAGATGCCGGCCCATCTAGCTGGCCCCCGTGTCCGCACACCGCGCACCAGGATTTTGTCAGCAAGAGAGAACAGCTGATTCTTTGGGACCACAGTCTTTAAACAGGGAACAATTTCTCCTCTTTCCGATATAGTCTATAGCACCAGCTCATCGTGATAAAGAACTGCAGCTCTACTCAGAAGAAATGTGTCATTCATTGTATTGGTGTGGATTTGTAATGTATCACAGTATGTACTTTTTTCTTAAAGACTATGTTTTGGGAAAGGAAAACACAATTGAAGAGCAATGTCAATTATTTACAATGGAAACAAATATGAACATAAAAATACATTTTTAAGTGCAAAACAATCACCCTTTTGACTTTGGAAATCTCACTTACCATTTAAAAATGTTTTTTTAAGATCCAGGATATATCCGTTTTCAACTTGCCATCCTGGTCAACAGAGACCTTAGGAAACTGCCAGACTCTTAATTCTCTGCACTTTATCCTCACTGAATTTCAGTTTAGTCCCCCCTCCAAATAAATGACATTGCTCATCAAAGCTTTTCTTAAATGAACTTGTGCTTCTAAAGTAAAAAAAAATCTTTCCATATTTGTTAAATGAGATTTTTTTAAAAAAATAAAAACTTAGGAGAATTAAGAGTTTAAGAATCTTGTCTTTTTCATTAGTAGTTCTGGCCTCCAAGAACTATGGGGGTGCACTGCTCGAACCCAGAGCCATCGAACTCAACGTGAGCAGTGCAGGGAAACTCCAAGATGCTCAAAACGGCACACCCCAAAGGCTTCCTGCTAGTTTCACGAAAGTTATCTTTTGCCCTTGATCCACTTCAGACGTTGACATTTGTGCCTCTGAAGAGTACCAGAGAGTATGGACACGTTCTTGATCTATAGAAGGAGCACGAACACACGAACACACGAACACACACACACACACACACACACACACACACACACACACACCCTTATAAATCTTACTGTTCCAAATATACAGCCTTGCTACTTTTTTATAAAATCCTGTTTTTATGAGAAGGCTGATATAGTGAACTGTAAGACTGAAGACATGGCAAGCTTCTGTAGAGATTAGAAAAAATAAATGAAGTCCAGCCATAATGCATCACTAATAAGAAGCAACACTGAAAATTCTAGATTCTCTGTGGCAATGACCATTTTAAAAGTCCAGAAGGGACGTTGAAAATTACGGCCTGGGGCCGGCCGAGTGGCGCGATGGTTAAGAGCTGGCTTGGCACGCCAGAGGGCCCCGGTTCGGATCCCACATATGAGGGTCTGTTCCCCTTCCCCCAATTCCCCAGCACTGTTCCCATCCCCCCAATTCCCCAATTAAAAAAAAAAATCTTTAAAAAAAAAAGAAAAGAAAATTACGGCCTGGCAGTCTTGCTGCACGTGAGCCGCTCGAGCAGCACGCACGATGGCGTCAGACCCCAGGTGAACTCGCTGGGCTCAGCAGGCTCCATGACTTCGCTGATAGACAATCAGGTTCAGGAAGCTCGTTCTCCGAGGGCGTGAATAAGCACGCGGGTGAAAGAGCATCGGGGTGTCAGCACTATAGTTTTGAAAATCTGTGATAGCTTGAAAATAGTGTTTACTTTTTTTGATTATAAAACAATAAATACTCAAAATAGACATTTTAAATGTGCAGAAACTATAGAAATAAAAAAGTCTGAGACTCACACCACCCAGGTATAAATGTTGCTAGTGTGATGGATCCTCGTTTTTCTCACCCGGAAACCTGTCAGCGCCGGCCTTCCACTGACTTGATCCTTTTCGTCCCAACAACAAACCTGCAGGCGGATGGGATGGCTCTGCTTTACAGACAGAGCCTGAGGCCCAGCCGGGTTCGGAGACTTTCTCAAGGCTACCCTCAGCAGGGTGACCAGTGTGCCCCGTCCGTGGCTGCCATGTCCCCACTTTTCACCCTGCCCTCCTCAGGCTATGTGGTTTGGGAGCTTGCCATTTTTTGATACTTCCTTTTTTGAGTTTTAAAAACCCAACAACCTGGGAGAGAACTGTCATAGGAGGGAGGGACCAGGTTAGAGCAGAAAGCAAGGAGGGCGGACACTCTCCCGAGAGGACTGAAGTGGGGAGGGGGGTGAGCCCCCTCCTCAGCATTTCCGGAGGGGAATGCAGGCTGGGGTCCCCAGGATGCAGATTGTGGAGTTGGCCTGAGTAGGAGAATGACAAACTCATGAGGACAGACGGCAGGAAGCCACCGGATGGCTGTACTCCAGGAGGCCCAAGCGCAGCCGTCAAAAGTCTGCTCAGGCCTCACCTTCCTGGGGCTTCCATCTAACCCACGCCACGAGCGGGGGGTCACTTTTACGACTCCCACAAGACATGGGATCGAAGTCCTGCTGCAGCCTTGGCGAAGCAAGGCTCTGGACACCTCTCCAGCTCCTAGTTCTGCACCCGGCACTCAGCAGTAATAGCTGTACAATTATAATTAGCTGAATGAGTCAACGATAAATAGATGCAATGAATGAAGGAAGGAAGGAAGTAAACAAAATATGTCATGTACAGACCTGAACGCTAACTCAGAAGAGACAGAATGGTTTGGGATAAAGGACAAGACGGGGCAAGTGGAGTCCTCAAGGGGACGAAGTGGCCCTGCACACCCAGGGTGGAAACACAAAACTGAGTTCAGAGAACTCTTAACGGCACGCGCGTGAAGCGGGTGTGATGGTGAAGGTGGCTCTCCATTCAGGGTCTCTGATAACAGAATGTGGAGACCCCGTTTAAACACCCGGAAGCTAGGAACAGGAAAGCAGAAAGCTCTGCTAGTTCCTGCAGTGGGGGCCAGTTTCTGAAGCCTGCGGGCTGAAGAGAAAGCAGAAAGGCTGGAGATCAGCTGAGACAGCAGAGCCCCCCCCCCCCAGTCAATATGACCACTGATGGGCGGGCCCCTGGGGTAAAAAGTATTCAAATGTTTCTTCGACCTATGGGGGTCCTATTGTTTGCTATTTCCCATCATACACTTCCTTTAGGGGCCACAAGTTCCCTATTCCCAAGTGTTCAGTAAGGGGACATCCATCGCCAAGCTCCCAAGCCTTAACGCTTTTAGTCTGGTAAGCAACGCCAGCCACGTCTGTCTGCTGTTCCCCAGAGATGCTTCGCTTTGCTATGTGTGAGCTGAAGTGAGTTCTCATGTCTCCAGGGCCCAGTACCCAGGCCAGCGATGGCGGCGGCGTCCTCAGCCAGGTACCTGGCTCAATGAGCAACTAGCCAAGGGTTTGTTTTTAAATACTAATGGTTTTTTAATGACAAAAGTAATACATGCACGTGGTTTAAAAATATATATCCAACCTAAGAAAAAAGTTTGCAATACAAAGGAAGTTTCTCTCTTCCATCCCAGACGGTTCCTAGAAGGTCTACACTGTTAAGTTACTTGTATCTCTTTTCAGAAATTCTCTAAGTACACACAAGCATGAATGAATTATTTTTCTTAAAAAAAAAAAAAGGGCGGGAATCACACTGTCCATGCCTTCCCACGGGGCGCAGTGTCGGGGGCTTCCCGTCCCGCAGTCCCCACGGCGGGCTGCACTCTAACAGGAACAGAGAATCTGACATGCTAGTTAATTTACAGGCCCAGCGCTCAATGAACGGTATTCAGGTCCCGCCATCTGGTGTCATTACCCACTAGTTAAGGTTTGTAGAGCCTACAGGTAGGTCTTAATCTACTAGTTTTGATGACAGTCACCCTGATCCTACTCGCTATTCATATCTCTAAATTCAAACAAACAAAAACAAAAACACTTCCCCTCCCCATTACTCTTTTTCAAAGGTCTACCATCAGGCAAAATATTTTCACCCCTTCACTGCTGAAACGGGGAACAGAAACGCAAAATTCACGATCACGGTTGAGTTTCCTTTTTCTTCACCTCTTTTATTGGCGCCACCGCAATCAAGTGCTACGAATATGCACTCTCCATCTTCTGGGTGAATCGCTAATGAGTCATGAAAGCATGCTGCTAGCAAGTGGGCAGGTGTGGGACCACGCACTGATTGACTCAGCACAAACTCAGGCCACCTGCTCCATCCTAAGCAGTGACCGTGAAGACCCCTCACAGGTCGGTGGCTTTCTGTCCTCCTCCTCAGGGCTTCTGCCAGACAGCATGTCCTTTACGTGCCACCTGAGCAACCTCAGCACTACCCATCTCTCAGAAACCAAGGCAGACACACACACACACACACACACACACACACACACACACACACACACACACACAGAGGCTGAAAAACAACCTGGCTTATTTTAAGTTCAAGAAAATGTTCAGCCTCTACTGCTTTTGAAGTTGAGCCACCTTCCCAAGAGTAGTAAATAACGTTCCTAAACACGTCTCTAAATCATCAGTTCACTTGGTGTGGAAATCTATTCAATACATCCTAAAGTGTTAAATTGTTAAATACAGCAGTTATAAGGCATCCAAACAAATGCTAAAATGTGTGTGAGCTCTGTTAGCATTGTATATATGACCAAAGACTTCAGAAAAACAGGCATAATTTTATGAACATACAAAAATATTCAAAACACAATACCTCATCCAGCTCCTGAAGAGATATGTGGTTCCCACGAGACCCATCCAGTTAGGGACAGCAAAAAGGAAGCAGGATGGGGACAGACAGACAGATAAGGTACGGTCAGTTGGCAAAACACTTAGATCTTCAATAAAGTTGACTAAAAATAAAGATCCCCTCACTAACCAAGGCATTTAAAAAATCTCCTCTTTACGAGTCTTCCTTTTTTTTAAAAAAAAGCTATATCAACATGTTTTATTTTTATTTACTGTGATTGTTTTGGAAATGACAGGAATACAAAACAAACAATAAATAGTTGCAAAATTCAAAATACAACAGAAGTGAATAAAACACACTTGCTTTAGTTTCACTAAAAAGCAATACCAATCTGTTTCATAAATATCAAATATCACATACAATAGTCTAAGTTTCCTTTAGGAAGCTAAAATAAGAAGAGCAAAGCTCAACTGCAATTTCACCATGTCAAATAAATGTACGTTTGAACGAGTAAATCAGTCCTGCAAATGCAGCAAAATTAGAAAATGGACAACCCACAAAAATTGGCTATGGCTGTATTCAGATATTTGAGTGACCACATGTGTAAAGTCCCTACACATTCAGTCCCGCAGTGCGGGCTTTCTCCGTGGCAATAAGCAAGCCGGAAGGCACTACCCTCGGAGAGAGACACAGGTGGCAAAAGAAAAACCCTTCCCACTGCGAGGAGGTGCATGCTACCATTAGTCTAGAAAGCACATAGTTATTTCTAAAGCTATTACAAAAGCAAGTCAACAAAACAAATCAAATAGTTAAGGAGAGATTTTTTTTTTTTAAGGAAGGAAGAGGATTAAGTTTCAATTTAAAACTAAAGGTTCCTTTTTAGATCAACGTGGAACTCTTATCTTCTGAACAGACATTTACTAATGATAGATCATCTAAACAACTAGGTCTTTTTTTTTTTTTACAGTATTGATCACTGAAATAGCTAGTGGTGAATTTCAATAATTAACTTGATTTTTTTTAATGCTTAACAATAAATTTAGAAAATTAAAAACATAACTTCTTTATTTAAAAACTAATAGTGCAAATAAAACTGGTCTATAAGGGCTAAAACATTATTATACAATGACAGCACTAAAAATGTAATCAAACAAGCATTCCTCCGTGTACAAATTCAATTAGCTGACATTATAGAAAGCCAAAGTCCTCTTCAATCCTTCTGCCATTTGCTATGAGGGCAAAAGAGAACTCTATTCTACACATACCCTGCCATAGCTGGAGTGCTAGAAGATATTAATAGAGAAGATAGTGTAAAATGGAAATCTGACTTAATTACCTTTTACTTTCAAATGTTTTCATTTTTTTAAAAGCTCAACAACACTTTCAGCAAGAAAGCATGAAGTGTTTCGATTAATAAAACACGACCCAGGCAAGCCCCTAACTCGGGCGTCCCAGCCAGCGTGCACATGGCCGCTCAGCAGCACCCTGGCATTGAGCCTCACGCGGCTTCCTGCCAACCACAGCTGGGGCTGTGCTCCACACCAGCCTGTCCTCTGGGTTATTAACCAAGCCCACACCCCGATCTCTGGGTGTCGACAATTACTAGCTGATAAGAGGTTAAAGCCGTATCTAGGCTAGATACGGCTCTGTTTTTACAAATAAGAAAAGCAAGCTTGTGAATGTATAAATCCATTCCCCCAGTCACAGAGCCCGTTAATGGCTAAGGAGGGGACAGAGCCAGGTGTTCAGGCCTCTGTCCACCCCACCTTCCAGCCTCTCTCATTTTATTAACAATTCAGGGAATGGTAGCTACCACCACACCACCTCAGGAATTAAATTCAGGTCATCTTTTGGAAGAACCGCCCCTCACCCCCCAATTTTGCTACCTAAAAACAGAAGGCTTTCAAACCCCCCCCCCCCACCCTCCGCCACCAAATTCCAGAAAATTTTGTCAAGTCCTGAATTCAAACATTTAGAATTACCATCAGGAAAATCCAAAATACAGCCAAATGAAAACACGTTACTACACATCATCACCTTCTAAATCTTTATAATGTCTAAATCTAGGTTTCTGACCTGCCAATGGCATATAATCAAGCAAATACTGAAAACTCCAAGTAGCATGTGGAATTTATAGTCTAAAGAACTTTCTACATAAAACTGAAAAATAAGTGGAAACCCATCTGTATTTACTCAGGATGTCTGGAAAAGTTGAGTAAAATGAGTTGGAAACACAGGTCTATGCTATAGTGATATTTACTTTATTTCCGTTGCTGCCAAAATAAAAGTTTGCTTCACTTTTATCCAACAAAGTACCCTTATTCTCAAGTAAGCCTCACTGCTCAAATGGAATCTTTAGAAGCAGAAAAACAAATAGATCTAAAGAGAAATATACAATGATTTCATAGTTGGATTCCAAAGGCAGAGAACTAATTTTCCAACAGACTCAGCCTGGACTAAAACTTAGGACCTTCAAAATGCGAGTGAAAAATGGACTATGTATGGTTGTAAAGTGAGATAAAGGATGATGCTATCCCATTTTAAGAAAAAATTTTTTTAAACAATGGGTCCTCACATTATTTTCCAGGACCCGCAGCAAAAGCCCTGGAAAAGCAGTCAGATCCCCCGTGGCTCACTAGAGTAGCAAGGACTCGGGCCAGTTTGCCTCAGTTCCCATCCCAGCTCCCCAACCTGTGAGGTGGGCAATACCGGGCGAGTTTCCGAACTCCTGAAAGCTCAGTTTCCTTATCTGGATGGTGGGAAGAACAAGGGCTCCTATCTGACAAGAGCTCTGGGAGGGGAGCACGAGGCCCCGCACGGAAAGGGCTGAGCCCAGGGCCGGGCACACAGTAAAGGCTCAATAAATCTCAGCCAACACTGCAGTCAAGGCTGAAGGAGGGCCTCGGATTCTTAACAGCCATAGTTAATCCTTAGTTTCTTTTTTTTCCCCCTAAAGCACACCATGTTTAATTAAAACTAATGTGCTAGTTTCAAACTAATCTAAGACCAATTAACTTGAGCTTCCATTTATGGATTATGCATTATTTTAAAGCAGAGAATAGATTAGGCAGTAAACACTACCCAAGTGCCTGCCATCCCTCTATTATCCCACTCCAGATCAAAGGAACTCACACAGCACCTCATCAGATCCCAGCAGCAACTCAGCAGCTACTTTTCATTCATTCAGGACTTGACACATTTTGAGGGATGCTTATTTAACTTGGTCAATTCATTTCAGTGTCTTGAAGCCAAGCTGCCTGTAACTGCCTGAATGGGGTGCTGCCTTAAAACCTGCCCTTGGCTGACAGAACGTCAAAATTACTTCTGCACCGTGCTGGTGCTACTTCTAAGGATTTTTGCTGTTGTTGACTATGTATTTCTCCTTTTTAAATTTAAAGCTAAGGCCACCATGGCTTGGTCAGGAGAAATAATGTATTAAAACAGAGTTTAGAAAGTACTGTTGAACCCACAAGGCCACCAGAAACCACCTAACTCAAACCCCTCAATTTACATATAAGGCAAAAGATGTCTAAAGAGATTAAAAGCTTGCCTAAAGACACAGTTGGAGTCAGCAGCCAGAGTGAGACTTAGCCCTAAATTCCCAGACTTGGAGTCCAACGCGCTTTCCTTTATTTCATGCTGCCCTGAGGCAGAAGCATGATGGGGCATCAAAACTGAGGCCAAAACAGAATGAATGAGAAATGCCAACAACTGCATTCTGCTGGCTGATAATCTAAAAGTCAAACCCCAGTGTTTTTAACAATTAGCTTCATTAATATCAACAAAACCAAGAACACAACTAAGTAGAATTTTGTTCAGTTCTGGGTGCTGAACTTTAAAAGGCCACAGAAAAACTAGACTTCATTCATTGGCAAAAAACCTTAACCTCGCTGTCTGAGCCCAGCAGGCTGAGCTAGAGAAGGCTTGGAGGACCGAGAAGGCTGCAGGGCGATTATGCAGAAGAAAGCAGGGGGCTTCCGGTGTCAGGGACCCTCAGGGGCCAGGGCCAGAGCTAGAGTCACAGGATGCAACATACGGACGTAGTTGGGGTTAATACGGGCAGGCATTTTTGGTTGTACAAGGGGCAGAGTGACGGGCTGGCGGCTGGAATTTCCTATCGCAGGCATAGGTTTATCAGTCAGGATGCTGGGTCAAAGGCCTTTAGGTCCCTTCTGGCCCTTAAGACTTATTGTTTATTTTGTCACTAAACATCCTCCTTAAATTCCTGTTTAGCTTTGACATATTTGTGTGAATGCTGCATAAAACTGTTTTAGTATGCACTTATAGGTAACCTACAATAACCCCACCAACCAATTTCTAGTTTTTTCCTCAAACCAGGGTGCAAAAAAAAAAAATGCATGTTTAAATTTTTTGAGTGATAGGGTTTTAGATGCCTATAGGTGCCTAAAGCCCTATCTATCAATAAAAAATGAGACAGACAGACACACACACACACCCCACTTTACAACCAATTTCCACAGCTTTTTCCTTGAATAAGGATGTGAAAATTCAGGTTGAAAGCGAAAACACAAAAACAAAAAACAACTATTACTTTAAATATCATTTATTTTCAGTTGTGTGTGAGAGAACAAAAACACAAACCAAAATAAACTTCTACAGCTTTTCCCTCTAACTAGGAACTAGAAATTTCAGGTTATAATTTTTTTAATTAAGTTAAACTTTAGTTAAACTTCCTTTTTATTACCTGAGTTTTAGGTAAATGTTTGCCAATTGTCTCCTTTTAATTTTTTTCTCATGTTTTTAACATGACAGGTATATATTTTAAGTTTTTATTTATTTTATTTATTTTATTTTCAAACATACAGGAAAGTATGTAAAACGGTATAACATCCTCCACATACTCATCACTATACTTAACAATTAGTAACACTTGGCCTTATTTGTTTCCCTTATTGGGGAGATTAAGAATATGAAGTGATATTTTGACATTTCACTCCTAAACATTTCAGTAGACCTAACAAAATTAATTAATTAGTTTAGCTAATAATTTCTTACTATCACCTAAGACCCAGCCCATATTCAAATTTGACAGCTATAGTTTTGTTTGATTTGCTAAAAGGTTTTGAAATTTATGAAGTCAGAAATGAGGTTTTAAAATTTTTATGAGCTAGAAATGCAGTGAAAAACATTCCATGAGTTATTCAATAAAGTTTTGAAAAATTGTGTTGGACAAGGGTTTTCCCCCAAAATGGCTGTAACACTTTTCCAACTTCCAGGAAAGTTGAAAAAACTGTACCCTCTACTTAGTCCCATTAACATCATGCCATGTTTGATTGTGTGTGTGCACATGTGTGTAGAAACCGTTTCCGTAGTCAACTGTAAGCAAGCTGAAGATATAATACTTCACCCCTAAACACTTCAGACATTTATGACATGCCATGTGTTTTTTTAATGCACACAATTAAAACGTGTTTTCTTTTTAATTCTAACTTAGGCAAACCATTTTTCTTTAATTGCAAAATCTATGTTTTAGATAGTCTGAATTGACTATAAAATATTTTAAATGATCTGATTGCTTATGATCTAAGAAAGACGTTAGTCAGACTAGTATAAGTATGTAACATTTTAAATGGCATAACACACAAAATATTTTTAATGTTGACTTAAACGTGTATTTTCAGTTTGATTTAGAAATTTATTTTCAAGAAATTGTCTGTTACCTAAACACATCTGTACATTTTCTGACATATCTATTTTTCCCATCTGTGTACTTTAGCTATTAATTTTTAATTCTTTGACTTAGCTTACACATTTTTTTAATTGCCTACTCAGAAAACCATTTTAAAAATCTGTTTGAGTTAGAGATGCACTTTTTAAAAGCTGCCCGTCTCTGACACCAGGTTTTTCAAACTGACCTACTGATTAATAATAAAGTCTCATGTTACTGATCGTTTCTGGGTGTTTTGAATCTTACAAAAATTTAAAAGCAAACAATGTTTTTCATTCAAAACTGATATCTTAGAAACATTGACAGGAGTTTTAGTTGTTTTTTTCCCCCCCAAGAGATAGCATAAAATCAATCCATTTAAGGAATATGCAATTTTTACATCTTCCTTCACAAAACTCAAGTTCCAATGGGGGATTTTATTCATTCAATTTCTACTCTCTAGTTCTTGGCTTATTTCAGAATATTCTTTTCAAAATTAGCACTGGAATCAGCCCATTTCCATTTTACCATTTCTTTTAGTTTATAAAGGCAAAAATCCTTCAAATTCTTAAGGAAATAAAAACCTAAACACACTTCATCCCTGTTTTCTATGATTTTTTTTTTATCTGAGTATATGTGATTTTATTCCTAAAACTGCTCACCGGCTTAGAATAGCTTTTCTATAGGAGTAATATGGCCAAAGACAGTTTCCACTCGTGATTTACAAAAAGGAAAAGCTGTCTTGGTAGACATTCTGCCAAAAATGAAGACACATGGCATACTTTTTCTGAAGCATTTAGGTAAAGTCGTAAAGAACAAAAATTGAAAGACAATATAATACAGTCCCTAAGAGATGAAGTAAGTGTACGATTCCCCAAACTGTATATTTCCATTATAATCCCCAAGAATCTGGTTTGGGATGACTTTTTTCCCTCTTCCTTCAATGCTGCTTTTATTCAAACCTGGCCTGTCTATAGCCAGGAGCCCGCCTTACAAACCAGTTTCCTAACTTCACTTTTCTATTTAAGATAGTACAAGGCTAATCACCATTGCCTTGTATAGGTCACCCAAACCTCCCCCTCCCCTTATTTAAGAGAAAACTGAGGCTCAGAAAGGGAAAGTAGCCCTCATCAAGAACAAACACAAAAACATCATCTTTCCAGGCCCTCCCTATAAAAGATTCTACCCGCTGAGCTAAAGAAAGGTTCAGGTTAATTAGATAAAAAATATGGGCTATTTGGGGGTTCGTTTTTCACAAACACACTATGTTTTGTTTTGTTTTTTTAAAGTTCGAATGGAGGGAAAAGCTTAATTTCCTGTCTGGGAAATGGAAAATGAAGAACCTAGCACCTTACAGTCTCACAAACATAAGCCCTCAGGAAAAACAGTGAAGCAATTATTCATAGGGAACAGGGCCACACAGAGGGCTGCAAGGCCATTAAAAGAAAACGGAAGGAAAAAAAAAAAAACACCCAACAACTCCTTCCTCGTTTGGGGGAGGGTGTAGTTCATTTGCAAGGATTTGGATCTGCGATTCCGCAACCCGGCCCTTAGAACCAAAGTGAGGCCCAGTATGGGGGGGGTGGGGGGAGGTGGGTTAAAACAAAACGCAACAAAAAGGCTTCAGAAAGCCTCCGCGCTTCCAAATCTTAGTGTTAAAACATATGTAAATTGAGGCGGATTGTCGTGCAGTGACGACGGGGGGG